TATTATCTATGACAACTCTGCCTAACGAATTTACATTTAAAACTGGGCTTTGTCAAAGATAAACAAAGCCAGACGTTAGTTGAAGGAAGGACAGATTTTAATCAGTAATATACTCTTACAGTAGAGAAAAGAGCCCAACATTAACTGAACTCAACTTCATTTTTTACAGAGGTGAGTGGATGTTTTTAAGGAAGAATGAAGGAATAGAGAGGGGGTAAACAGGCGTTCAGCAGAATCAGGGAAGTGAAAAATTACAAAAATGGGAAGGGAGGTCGGCTCCCATGAACTGCGTCTGGGCTTGCTGACGCTTCTGAAGCTTAGGATGCTCCCTCCCTAAGGGAGGGAGACAGGAGCCCTATCTTCAGGTGTTGGCTGGAACAAACAGTAAGTTCTTTCGATTGCCTTGAGTTTTTTCAGGCTCTATAAGAAGGGGAGGTTATGGCCATCCTAGAGATGTAGCCCTAAACTGTTAAAAAAAACTCTTAGTCCTTCATTTTTAAAAAAGATTTTATTTACTTATTTGGCAGAGAGATAGAGAGCACAAGTAGGCAGAGAGGCAGGCAGAGGGAAAGGGAGAAGCAGGCTCTCCACTGAGCAGGGAGCCCAATGCAGGGCTCAATCCCAGGACTCTGAGATGGTGACCTGAGCCAAAGGCAGCCACTTAACCGACTGAGCCACCCAGGCGCCCCTCTTAGTCCTTCATTAAGGAGGGCATGTGATGTAATGAGCGCTGGGTGTAAGACTGAAGAATCACAGGTCTGTACCTCTGAAATCAATAATATATTGTATGTTAATTGAATTTAAATAAAAAATATTTTTTAAAAAAGAAAGAGTGTGGCAAACATAGGTTGAGAAATCCTCATAAACTGTATGAACAGTTGTTGCATATTTATGTGGTTAGGCTAGGCCGTCTACCCCTTCAGAAATGTTTTCTCCTCCGTCCTACCACTAATTCTTTTTTTTTTTTTTAAAGATTTTATTTATTTATTTGACAGACAGAGATCACAAGTAGGCAGAGAGTCAGGCAGAGAGAGAGAGGAGGAAGCAGGCTCCCTGCAGAGCATAGAGCCCGATGTGGGGCTCGATCCCAGGACCCTGGGACCATGACCTGAGCCGAAAGCAGAGGCTTTAATCCACTGAGCCACCCAGGCGCCCCCTTACCACTAATTCTTATGTGTTTGGACATGAGGCAAAGTTTTCTGGCTTAGAGTCATGTTACACCCTTACTGTTTACACAAGCAAATATTTTTTCGCGTTGTAGTAGAAAATCTATCAAATGGGAAAACGATTGTGACATTTTATTTATAGGAAAATTGTTTATAGACGACAAAACAGCATTTACAACCTACTGTCGTTTTTGTAATTTAAAAAAATGTTAACACAGAAAAAACCAAAACCAAAAAATTGTTAGTCCTTTATTCAAGTGGGAAGCCTAGCAAGAAGAGGGCTCCGAGGAGCCTGGCTAGCATATGATCAAGGAGCGAGTCTTTGTCAGGTTCCAGAGCAGAAGTTGTATACTTTAAATACATAATGCTCTCGCCAGGGTCAGAAACAAGTTATGAGTGATTCTTTCCGATTGCATTATTCCAACTCTGGTGGTTGGTTGCTCATTATGCACACCGGGCAGTCTGTTATCTCTCCTGAGAGAGACTTCTCTCAATTAGCGTGTGCCTGACTCTCTCAAATGTCTCTATGTAACTTTTTAGGGAAACGTAATTTCTGGAGGGGTGGTAATTTTAAACATCTGATGTCCTCTAATGATGATAGTGAATACACAGGGTGAGTTAGTGTGTGGCAGGTGGGTATAAGCTCGATGTCTCCCTAAGAAGTAGACAAGTGGTAACCGGGAATTTAAGATTCATTTCTCACAATAGGAATGAGACTTTTTTCTTTATTTGAGTATCTGTGGTGGAGAGTCATTGGAGGTGGACAGATGCCTTCGGTGGAGTCAAACAGGTCCTGCAAAGCAGGCTGGAAGGTTGTTGAAGAAAATAATGATTTCTACCCAGGTTAGACTCAATCTTTGTTCCCACTCCCAAAGGGTTAGGTTTTGCTGATAGGGTTGTAAGGACTTCGGCAGAAGCATTTTGTTGATATGGGGTCAATATATAATTTTGATAAGACTGAAATTAGGGTTAATTATGTGAGGAGAAACTTAACTATCAGAAGGGATAGAGAAAAGAAAATTTACATCTTGAAGTATTTTTCATTTGTTTTTTGGTTGGTTTTATTTATTAAGTTTTGTCAGTAATCTGTTAAATTCAGAACAGTAGCTATGATCTAAGAAAAAAACAACCCAGAGGGGTGCCTGGGTGGCTTAGTTAGTTAAGTGTCCCTAACTCTTGAACTCAGGTCCTGGTCTCAGGGTTGTGAATTCAAGCCCCACATTGGGCTCCATGCTGGATGTGAAGTCTACTTAAAAAAAAAAAAAAAAAAAAAAAAAGTAGGAGGGGTGGGGTAGGAGGAGGGGGAAGGGTTTACAAATTAAGTAAACAAATTAAGCAATTACAAACAAATTAGGAGGAGTTTGTAATCTGAGTTTGTAAACTCAGGTAATTTGTGGGTTCTAGGGGGGCTGATCTCATTGCTTGCAATCAAGCCAGTGGAAATACTTCAATCATGAGAAGGTTGAGGGTGTTAGAATGCCATTCGTTCTTGTTACTTTCCCTGTTGTCTATGGATAAGGACAGTGACGTTACTAAGTAAAAGTTAAAGCTTTATGGTTCTTTGATGATTCTATCAGTGAAATGTATGTCTCTTACAGAAGAGACAAGTTGGAATTCCCAAATTAAGCAATTTTTTTTCTACAGAGCTCTGTAGCAAAGAAAAGCCTTGACACACTCTGAGAATGAACAATAACCAGAACACATTCATAGACTTTCTGGAGATGTTCAAAGGAGCCTTGGGACTGTGGATGTCCATGTTCTACCTTTACAGACTTGCTAGAATTGTGTTGATGGCAGATGGGGCGTACATGGGAGCATCCTTAGCGATAGCCTTCAAATTACCCTGCCAGTGTTGGTTTAATACCATCACCAGTTTATCTCTGCTATTACAGGTAATATCATGAAGCAGCCTTGCTAAACTCTACTTTTATTATGGCTGTATCTTTGGGTAATAGCAAAGCATCTCAGGGTTCTTTGATCCATTGTTTACTTTTGATCCATTGTTTACTTTGATCCTTTTTTTTTTTTTTTGCATTTTCTAAAACTTTATTGCCGACTCTTAAAGATGGCTGAATTTTAGAGCAGTAATTAAGAAAACAATTAAGAACCTGTGGGGCATTATGCTAAGTAAAATAATTCAGACAGAGAAAAAACAAATACCGTGTGAGTTCACTTATATATGGAATCTGAGAAACAAATGAACAAACAAAATAAAACTCATAGAGAGAGACCGGATTGGGGGCTGCCAGAGGAGGGGGGTGGGAGTAGGAGACATGGATGAAGGACATCCAGAGGTACAAGCTTCTGATTATTAAAATAAGTCAGGGAGATGTACAGTGTGGTACCTATAGTCAATAATATTTCCTGCATATTTGAAAGTTGCTAAGAAAGTAGATCTTGGAAGTTCTTATCACAAGAGAAAAAAATCTGTTAATTATGTGTGGTGGTGGATGGTAACTAGACTCATTTTGGTGATCCTTTCCCAAAGTCATGTTGTACATTTGAAATTAACATAATGTTATATGTCAGTTATGCTTTAATAATCTTTAATAGAAATCTCTATTTCTAATGTATTTTGAATTCACGAATGAATCCAAAATCATATTCTATGTATCAGTATAAATATTTGTTCTTTTATCCATTTGTCAGCAAGTGTGGGTAAAGGCAATTAACTTAACCATCCGAATATTTTAGTTCAAGGTAAAGCTTATATTTCAAGGATAAAGTCACGTCACCAACATCATAGCCTGTTTGACAATTTTATTTTTCTTTCTAAGTATGAGCCAACCAACCAATAAAATTAAATCAGGGATATGCAAGGGAGAATCTAGAAGGTCCATGCAAGGTATGGACACCTCGGTTACTAAGATAACCAATCATGGGCTTTTATATACATATATATACATATATATGTGTATATATATATGTGTGTGTGTGTGTGTGTGTGTGTGTGTGTGTGTGTGTGTGTATACACATACATATATAGATGAGGAAAGGAGGGTAGCTTGGTTTAATGTTACAGCAATGGATGGTGATGTTTTAAGGGAAACCAACAAAATTGTGTAGGAGGTTATGTGATTGGCTGAAGAGTCCCAAGTCATTTCTATCAATAGGAAGTTCTGTACAACAGGGAAACTATTTATTTATTTTAAGTAATCCCTACACCCAATGTGGGGCTTGAACTCAGGACCCAGAGATCAAGAGTTCCATTCCCAGCCTACTGAGCCAACCAGGTGCCCCCAACAGGGAGATTATTAAGTTTAGTGGAGATCATAAAACTAAGTGGCAAAGTTGACTTAAGGCCTCTAGAAGCCTTGCTGGAGCTCCTGGAGCTCTTAAACAATATGGTTACACAGTGGCTGCTAGTTAAAACATTAAATTCTTATGATTTGTCCCAAAGTAAGAATGTCATAAAATAAGTTTTTAAAAACGATTCGTGGTCACCACCCCTTTTAGTTAAATACAAATTTATATGTTTAATTTTAAATTTTAAACAACTTAATAAAAATGGTGGAATATTGCTTAATTCATAAATCCCATGGAGGAAATTCAGTTTAGCCAATGGAAAAATCAACCCTGGCCTTGTTCAAATCAAAATATTGTGCTGACACTAGTTGTCATATACTAAATTAATTTTTTAAAGACTCTGAAACATGCCAAAATTGGTATCTTCTTTTAACTTGTATATAATGCCTTTTCTTTTTTTCCTTACAACTGTAATAATAAAAGCTATTAATGTAAATACACGTTTAGTGTCCACAAAATGAAATACATCTTAATAAAATTGTCTTCTTTTATTTCAGACATTTCACCTGTTTATCTAGACGGTATGTTCCTAGAAATGTGCACAAAAAGAGTGAGGGGCTCGTGATCAGGTAATCATTCATTTCCTAAGAGAGGAAAAAAAGAGAGAGAGGAATTGAAAGAAGAAAAAAAAGGCAATGAATCATGGAACACTTCATCAAAAACTAATGATGTACTGTATGGTGGCTAACATAATTTAAAAAAAAAGAAGAACACTTTAGATGAATATGACATTAACACTAAAAAAATACAATTTTTACATGAATTATATTGAACGAGAGTTGAATGCATGAAATAAATCCTGCTTGGTTGTGGTGCATAATTCTTTTTGTAATATGGCTAAATTTTTTTGCTAATATTTTGGTAAGAGATATTGTGTCGGTATTCATAGGAAATATTGATTTGTAGTCTTTTGTTTTATACTATGTCTGGTTTTGATATCAAGGTAATAGTAGCTTCATAAAATAAATTGAGAAGTGTATCCTCCTCTCCCATTTTCTGGAAGAGATTTTATGGAATTGGTGTTAATTCTTATTTAAATAAGGTAGAATTCTCCAGTGATGCCACCTGGACTTGGAGATTCCTTTTGAGAGTTTAAATTGTAATTTTCTCAGTAGTTCTAATTATCATTTTATATTTGGTGAGTTGAACTAGGTTTTTTTTTTTTAAGGAATTAGTCCATTTCACCTAAGTTATCAAATTTATGCATGTAGAGGTATTCATAGTATTCCCTTATACTTCTGATGTTTGTAGTGTCTATAATTATGTCCCCTGTTTCATTCTTGATAATGGCAATTTATGTCTGCTCTATTTTTACCTTTGTCTATCTTGCTATAAGTTTGTTGATTGTAATTATCTTTTCCAAGAACAAGTTGTTTCTTTCATTGATTTTTCTCTATTTTTTTCTGTTTTTAATTTCCTTGATTTCTGCTTTTACCTTTATTATTTCCCTCATTTTGCTTGCTTTGGGCTTATTTCACTCTTTTATTTATTTATTTTTTTTTTTTAAGTAGGCTCCATGCTTAGCTTGGAGCCCCATGCAGGGCTTGAATTCATGACCCTGAGATTAAGACCTGAGCTGAGATTAAGAGTTGGACACCTAAACAACCGAGCCACCAAGGTTCCCTGAGTTTATTCCACTTTTAAAGGGGTTTGGTTTCTTTTTACCTTCTTGAGATGGTAGCCTAGATGACTGATTTAAAACTTTTTCTGTGGTCCTGTATGCATTTAGTGTTATACAGTTTTCTGTCAGCTTTGCTTTGGCTATACTCCACAAATTTTGATATGGTGCATTTTCATTTTTATTTTGTTCAGTAGATTGTTGGTTTCCCTTGAGACTTCCTCTTTGACCCATGGAGTATTTATTTATTTATTTATTTATTTATTTATTTTTAAAGATTTTATTTATTTGACAGACAGAGATCACAAGTAGGCAGAGAGGCAGGCAGAGAGAGAGAGGGAGGAGGAAGCAGGATCCCTGCGGAGCAGAGAGCCTAATGTGGGGCTCAATCCCAGGACCCTGGGATCATGACCTGAGCCGAAGGCAGAGCCTTTAACCCACTGAGCCACCCAGGCGCCTCCCATGGAGTATTTAGAAGTGTGTTGTTAGTTTCCAAAAATTTGGGGATTTTCTATATTTCTGCTATTGATTTCTAGTTTGATTCCATAGTAGTTATAGAGCACACTCTGTATGATTTCAATTCTTTTAAATCTGTTGAGGTTTGTTTTATGGCCCAGGATGTGGTTTATTTGGGTATATGTTCTGTGGGCACTTGAAAAAATGTGTTTTCTGCTGTTGCTGAATAGAGTATTTTATAAATGACAGTTGGTTCCTGTTGGTTGATGTTGTATTTGAGGTGTTCCATATTCTTGCTGAGTTTTTGCCTATTTGCTCTATCTGTTATTGAGACAGGGTTTTGAAATTACCAACTATAACAGTGGACTTGTGTATTTCTCCTTTCAATTCTATCAGTTTTCCTTCACATAGTTTACGACTCTGTTGTTTGGTGCATACACATTTTGAACTGGTATGTCTTTTTGGCAGATAAACTCTTTTATCATAATATAAATGTCCCTCTCCCAGAATTTTCTCTGTTCTGAAGTTTACATTATCTGATATTAAGAGCCAACCCTTATTTCCTTTGATTAATGTTTGCATGACACGTGTTTTTCATCCTTTTACTTTCAACCTGCCAATTCTATAATTTGAAGTGAATTTCTTATATAAGCATATAATTTATATATATATATATATATATAATCTGTATTTTAATTGGCATCTTTAGACTATTTATGTTTAATGTAATTATTTTTTTGTTAGAGATAAGTCTGCCATTTTATTGTATTTTTCTATTTGCATTATTTATTTTCTTTTTCCTATCTTCCTGGTGATTATTTGAACACTTTTCAGAATTCCGTTTTGATTTAGCTCTTGTGTATTTGAGCATATCTCTTTGTATAGCTTTTATTATTATTATTATTTTTAAATTTCTTTTCAGCGTAACAATATTCATTGTTTTTGCACCACACCCAGTGCTCCATGCAATACGTGCCCTCCCCAATACCCACCACCTGGTTCCTCCAACCTCCCAACCCCCGCCCCTTCAAAACCCTCAGGTTGTTTTTCAGAGTCCATGGTCTCTCATGGTTCATCTTCCCCTCCAATTTCCCTCAGCTCCCTTCTCCTCTCCATCTCCCCATGTCCTCCATGTTATTTGTTATGCTCCACAAATAAGTGAAACCATATGATAATTGACTCTCTCTGCTTGACTTATTTCACTCAGGATAATCTCTTCCAGTCCTGTCCATGTTGCTACAAAAGTTGGGTATTCATCCTTTCTGATGGAGGCATAATACTCCATAGTGTATACGGACCACATCTTCCTTATCCATTTGTCCGTTGAAGGGCATCTTGGTTCTTTCCACAGTTTGGCGACCGTGGCCATTGGTGCTATAAACATTGGGGTACAGATGGCCCTTCTTTTCACTACATCTGTATCTTTGGGGTAAATACCCAGTAGTGCAATTGCAGGGTCGTAGGGAAGCTCTATTTTTAATTTCTTGAGGAATCTCCACACTGTTCTCCAAAGTGGCTGCACCAACTTGCATTCCCACCAACGGTGTAAGAGGGTTCCCCTTTCTCCACATCCCCTCCAACACATGTTGTTTCCTGTCTTGCTAATTTTGGCCATTCTAAGTGGTGTAAGGTGGTATCTCAATGTGGTTTTAATTTGAATCTCCCTGATGGCTAGTGATGATGAACATTTTTTCATGTGTCTGATAGCCATTTGTATGTCTTCATTGGAGAAGTGTCTGTTCATATCTTCTGCCCATTTTTTTATATGATTGTCTGTTTTGTGTGTGTTGAGTTTGAGGAGTTCTTTATAGATCCTGGATATCAACCTTTTGTCTGTACTGTCATTTGCAAATATCTTCTCCCATTCCATGGGTTGCCTCTTTGTTTTGTTGACTGTTTCCTTTGCTGTGCAGAAGCTTTTGATTTTGATGAAGTCCCAAAAGTTCATTTTCGCTTTTGTTTCCTTTGCCTTTGGAGACGTATCTTGAAAGAAGTTGCTGTGGCTGATATCGAAGAGGTTACTGCCTATATTCTTCTCTAGGATTCTGATGGATTCCTGTCTCACGTTGAGGTTTTTTATTCATTTTGAGTTTATCTTTGTGTATGGTGTAAGAGAATGGTCGAGTTTCATTCTTCTACATATAGCCATCCAGTTTTCCCAGCACCATTTATTGAAGAGACTGTCTTTTTTCCACTGTATATTTTTTCCTGTTTTGTCGAAGATTATTTGACCATAGAGTTGAGGGTCCATATCTGGGCTCTCTACTCTGTTCCACTGGTCTATGTGTCTGTTTTTATGCCAGTACCATACTGTCTTGGTGATCACAGCGTTGTAGTAAAGCTTGAAATCAGGTAACGTGATGCCGCCAGTTTTATTTTTGTTTTCGACTCTTCCTTAGCAATTCGGAGTCTCTTCTGATAATGGCTGCTCTAGGTATTACATTATACATATGTCACTAACCACAGTCTATTGACATCATCATTTTACCAACTCAAGCAAAGTGTGGAAAACTTACCTCTTTCGTGTCCCTTTACCCTCCCTGAATTACAATAAATTATCTTTAAAAATTCCCCTACATCATATCAAATCCTATCAATGTTAGAGTTTTTGTTTCAATCATTAAACATAACTTAGACTCAAAAAGAGAAGAAAATCCTCTTGTACTTATATATTTTTGCTTTTCATGTCTTACCTTTTTTTGGATGTTCTTAGGTTCTTTCTTTTATTGTTTCCTTTCTTTCTAGAGGACTTCTTTTAGCCCTTCATTTAGGGTAGGTCTGCTGGCAACAAATTCTCTTAGTTTTCCATCATCTGAGAATGTCTTGACTTCTCCTTGAAGGGTATTTTTGCAGCATATAGAACTCTGGGGTTGGTAGAGTTTTCTTTTAGCACTTGAAAATTTGTGCCATTTCCCTTTGTCTTCCATACATTCTGATGAGCCATATGCTCTCTGGTAGATTTAGCTGCAGTATTAGCATAGGCACTGGGCCAAAGGTCTCCCAAGTTTGAAGCTTTGGCTTTAACCAAATAAATTAATGTTTATTTTGCATTCTAGAAATTTACTGTGACGTATAATGGAGCACACAGTAAAGACTTTTCAGATATTTTTTGACTCAAGTAGCAAAGAAAAGCTAGTATTTCTCTGTTTCATTAAAATCTGAAAAGCTGTAAGTAGTGAGCAAGAAGTAACTTTTTGTGTGTGTGTTTTTTTAATCTAGGATGAAGAGAAAACTTATGTCCTTGCCTCCATCCACCTCTATACCAGAAATGGAATCCAATGGCACCTTCACCAGTAACAACAGCAATGAGAACTGTACAATTGAAAACTTCAAAAAGGATTTTTACCCTACCGTGTACCTGATAATATTTATCTGTGGAACCTTGGGAAATGGCTTTTCCATATACGTTTTCCTGCAGTCTTATAAGAAGTCCACGTCTGTGAATGTTTTCATGCTAAACCTGGCCATTTCAGATTTCTTATTCACAAGTACACTACCCTTCAGAGCTGACTATTACCTCAGAGGCTCCAATTGGATATTTGGGGACCTGGCCTGCAGGATTATGTCTTACTCTATGTATGTCAACATGTACAGCAGCATTTATTTCCTGACTGTGCTGAGCATCGTGCGTTTCCTGGCAACCGTTCACCCCTTCCGGCACCTCCATGTCACCAGCACCAGGAGTGCCTGGACTCTGTGTGGGATCATATGGTTCCTTATCATGGCTTCCTCAGTAATGCTTCTGAACAATGGCTCTGAGCGGAATGGCAGTGTCACATTATGCTTAGAGCTGAATATGCGTAAAATTTTTAAACTGCAGACCATGAACTACATTGCCTTGGTGATGGGCTTCATGCTGCCATTCTGCATGCTCAACATTTGTTACCTCCTGATCATTCGAGCTCTGTTAAAGGTGAAGATCCCAGAACTGGGTGTGCGGGTTTCTCACAAAAAGGCTCTTACCACCATCATCATTGCCTTGATCATCTTCCTCCTGTGTTTCCTGCCCTATCATGTACTGAGAACCCTCCACCTGCTTGAGTGGGAAGTGGGTGTATGCAGAGACAAGCTGCATAAAGCTGTGGTCATCACACTGGCCTTGGCAGCAGCCAACACCTGCCTCAATCCTTTGCTCTATTACTTTGCTGGGGAAAATTTTAAGGACAGGCTAAGGGCTACACTCAGAAAAGATCATCTACAGAAGACAAAGTGCAGCATTCCTGTCTGCATCTGGTTGAAAAAGGAAACACAAGTTTAAGGGTTTTGTAGGTAAGGCCTGTTCTTGTATCCTTGTGCTCACCTTCATTCACACATAGTCTCAAATGACCATATATTTACACCATTTCCAACAAAGGTCAATCAAGTCTTACTTCACACATTTTATTAGGTGTGCTTTCAGTGGTGGAGTCTAGATGAGAAATGTAGCAGGCAAAATCTCTACTAGTCTTGCAACCTAAAATGTCAGATTGGGAAAGAAGTGCTTAGCATATTGTGTGCTTCTTTTCGTCAGATTCTGTACCAGATCTTGGTCCCATCAGGCATTCTAGATTAAGGTTAAGACAATCTCAACTTCTCCAGCTTCTCCAGCCCCTCTTACATCTTCAGTTCTTTAAGATATAGCCAGTTAACAAAGCTAAAGGAGGTTCCAGAGCAGATAAGAAAAGCATCCTAGGAATTCACTGAAAAGACTTTGTGAAGAAGGTTGCTCTTCAACAGGTCCCAAATAAGAACAGTGAGAGAGAAAGGGAGAGGAGGACTGGGGCAAGAAAGGGCTGGTGAAAAGTAGGGAGAAGGAGATATTTCATTTTGTACTGAGATAGAGGCTCTAGCACACTGAAGGCAAGAAAGTTCTCTTTGCCTCTCTCTTGCCAGGAGGCTAGAGAGGATAGGAAGAGTAGGAGGAAGAACTAGGCCATTGCCTAGGATTAGAGGGATTATGGGTGAAAATACAGAGAAGAGGGAGTCAGTTTTACTCTTGGGATTTGGGTTTGGACTGACTTCACTTCAGTCCTCAGTCTTGCACATTAATCCAATGGGATGGGAGCCAGAACAGAGGAGGTTGCTCTAAGCGTTTGCGTGGGCACTGAGAGAGAGTGTGGGGTAGAGGATAAGTTGCAAAGGTTGTTGTACCCCTGAAATTCTACTAATATTTTGGCAAAACATGAATACGGTGGCTTTCCTTTTGAGGGAGTATAGAAAAGAACTGGATATTGGAAAGGGGTTCTTTTGTCCACTGAAACAAACCTAGGGAGACTACCAACTGCTACCTCCCAGACCACTGTACCATGAACAATTGAATGCCCTCTCCATGCTGGGCAGACTGTGCCAGACATTTCGCATTCAGCAACCCCATTTAACCCTCACACCAAAGCCTTGTGTTTCTACTTCACGAATGAAAAAACTGAAGCTCAGGGAAATTAAGAAGCTTGTTCAAGTTCACACAGCTTGTAAGTGTTTAAAAAATATCTGTGGAGAAGAGATAGCTGGGTGTTTACTCCACTGCTTTCCCTACAAAACTCCAGGAAGATTGGTTGAAGGTCTGAATAAAAGTTCCCTTTCCCCATCAGGCACCTACCCCTTCTCATTTTCACAAGACACTCTCTTTGGAGTTACTGACCTCAGGTAGAGTAGAGTGTGGGAGGGAGGTGGTGGGCTCAAGCTAGGGAGAAAGGAAATGTCTTCATAGTAAACAGGAGCCCCAGGGGGGCTATCAGAATGCTGACAGACTCATATCCCATCAAAACAGGTGCTTGTAGGATCCCACTGTGGGAAAACTGTCCAACCCAAGAAAAAGACTAACAAATACAGACTGTTGAGGATTTCCTAACACAAAAGCCAGAATCTCCCTTATTACCTACCCGACAGGGAAGCCCATACTGCAAATAATCCCTCACATTCAGAGAGCACCTAGTCAGCCTGTTAGAGCCTCACTCTTAATTATGAATAGTTAATGACTACTGCACTTGGGGGCCAGCAAGGCCAGGGGGTGGGGGCATGGGGCACAAAGGCCCAAACATGAAAAACACCTACAAATAAATGAGAGGGTAGATAGAGACATTTTTAGTATGGAAGGTCTCAACACTCTTTATCACCCTTGCACTTTTTATTAGAAACCCGCTGGAGGATGTGTTCCTCCAAAATAAGTGATTAAGCCAAGATAGGGGAAAACATGGGATCTAGGAAACAAAGAATCCAACACAGGAGAAAGGTGAAGAAAATAAGATGTTGGTGATAGCAGAAAAGAAAAAAGAAACTAATTGATTTGCACTCATTGGAGGGATTTATATTTTTCTTGAAGAACTTGGGATGAACTAGTGAAAATACATAGAAAAATAAACAAGGGAAAAGACACTGTGATCCTTGAATGCTAGCAGAAAGAAACAGTTGTTTAAGAACAGAAATATAATCATAATACACTATGTGGCTCAGCTGTAAATAATGTTTACACAGAGAATAATGTAAATAACAAAATACTGTGATACAACTTTTTTAAGAAATGAGAGGGTATGTATGCGGGGGAGAGGTGTAAGATCTAGATCTCCATCTTCTGTCACAGAAAATGCATAATAACTAAAGCTAGGGAATGACAAATGCTGTAGAAAAATGTTATTTAGCAACAGGAGCTATAGTCCAGAAGAAGCAATGAAAAGGAGAGACAGGGATGGCCTCTAGGGAGTTTGGGGTAGACCAATAGGGTGGAGATTTCTATTTTCCTGTTAAGAACTTTTCAGCCATCTAACTTGTAAATATGTATTGTTGAAATAAAAATTAAGTTTAAATTAAGCTTTAAAAGTCAAATGGATTCTGTGGGTTTTGTTTGTTCGTTTTCAAAGAAATGAGACAGAAAAGAAAGGTCACCAGAAATGGGCACTGAACACTGACAGGAGAAAGGAAAGCAGGAAATGACTAGACTTGGACTTGGGCCTCTGAAGGAGACCCACCCAGCCCTGCCATGGGAGGGGAGACCCCTCTTGGGATGGCTGGAATCACTTCCTAGGATCAGAGATTATTTAGTATATCCGGATATTTTTTAGAGACAAGCAGCAGAAAACCCAACTCCGAGTGGCTTAAACAATCACTATCTCACATAACTTAACATCCAGAGAGAAGTTGGACCTTAGGCACTATAGAGCAGGGGCTTCTGTGAGCCTTCTTCTCCAGGCATCAGCCCTGTCTGATGGCTGAATCCCCTCATGGGAACAAGCTGATTGCAAGCAGCCTGAGGCTACATGCTTCCTTTCTTATATCCAGGAGAAGAAACAGGGTATCTCCTGTTCCAAAGTCATTGGGCTTCCTTTTGATCAGAACACTCAGATTACACCCCAGCTCCGAAGGATTTCTCAGATGCAGCAAAGGTGGTCAACGTCTACACCTGCAGGAGAGTTAAACCCACAGAAATCTCAGCTGGGAGAAGGGTGAAATGGGACTGCACAGGCCACATAGTGAGTCACCTGCACCACAAGTGAGGTGGAGAAGAGCTGCCAGCCAGCCAGGCATCCAAGCCCAACATGGCTGGTACCTATGTAGTGGCCCCAGCAGCTCAGGAGTGTGAAGGAATGATGTGTTAGAAGAAAGACAAAAGCTAAAATAGGAGTTTATATTGTAAACTCATAAGGATTTTCAAAAGGTGATTAGAAATCTCAACAACTCTCCACGGGTAAGACAGCCCAGGTAAAGTTGGGATACCTGAGAGCGACCGACATCCTTGGAATCAACAGTAATGGAGGGGTTGTGAGTCATTGTGTCTTTAAATCTATGGTGCCTGGGCATGTGTGTATGTGGGTGTGTGAGAGAATACATGCTTAATGACTTGTTTTTCCTTTTTCCAAGACTTTCCCTTTCTCCAGTCAGGGTGAAGCATCTCATCTGGTAAAGAATGTTGTCCTTGAGGAAGAAAACAAAATGGAATTCTTTATTTACCAAAGTGAAAGCCAAGAGTGTCCCAAAGTTTTAGATACAGTTCTTTTTGTTTGAAAGATTAGATAGCCCGTCAAGCAAGTACACAAATTGTTCAACTAGGAGAACGGATGTTTGTTGTGTCAGCTTTAGACGAATTATGATACTGCAACTCTGTTTTTTCAGTGGGGACCTAAGAAGCAAATGCCATTAAGTTTTGTAACTATTTTGAATGACCAGTTCTCTGCGTTGGATTTAATTAAGATGACTTACAATTTATTCTGCAGCAAAAATGTTGTCAAACTGACCAAAAACAGGTCTACGTGGGGAGATGGACAAGAGAGATGGCTTTCTACAGAGCTTTCATTTTTCTTCCTGGAAAAGGGCTTGAAAATAGAGACTCTGTTGGGGAGAATGGAGGTAGGTGGGAGGGGGTAATCCAGAGAATATGGTGATAGGAGATCCTTCCTCTAAGATATTTTTGTCCCCAAGTAGATAGGGGCAGCTACTCATGGCTAATAAAAGCCACGAGGAGAGTCTTAACAATAGAGAACTTGTTAAAAAGTTAGTGTGTATTTGAAAGCTCTAATAAGCAAAGAGTATAGCACTGATGTGAAAATCCACAGAGAGTTCAAAGATACATAGATAGGAATGGAGGTTAATTTACATGGGGAGTTGGAAAGGTCTCAGAAGTTTCAGCTGCATGAAAATTCTAAGCGCAGGGACTCATGGTCCTTCCCCTGCTTCCTTGTCCCCAAAGATCCTTGCATGCCAAGCGTGGGACAGACATAGCAGGGCCTGTGGGACATGGAAGGAAGCTACTACAGCCTGTGTTGGCTCATGTAGAACATCAGGACCTTTGCATAACCCTCAAGTCAGGGAAAAACAAACTCTTGTATAACTCTCAAGTTGGGGAACCCGTGTAATGGCCAAGATGGAATTTCCCATTAGCCTTGTGGGATAGATGCTTCAAGTCTGCTGTAAATTAATTTTCTTAAAATGAAGCATGATGCTTTCTTTATTCACAAGATCTTTCAAACAAACAAAAATGTTTGAATTAAGGAAGAATAAAACTGTTACTTCTGTTCTTACTCCCTACTCTAGGAATTAGAATCTTCTTTTTTTAGGTTTTATTTCTTTTTTTTTTAAGATTTTATTTATTTATTTGACAGACAGACATTACAAGTAGGCAGAGAGGCAGGCAGAGAGAGAGAGAGAGAAGGAAGCAAGCTCCCTGCTGAGCAGAGAGCCCGATGTGGGGCTTGATCCCAGGACTCTGGGATCATGACCTGAGCCCAAGGCAGAGGCTTTAACTCACTGAGCCACCCAGGCGCCCCTAGATTTTATTTCTAAGTAATCTCTATACCCAACGTGGGGCTCAAACTCACAACCCCAAGATCAAGAGTCACCCAGGCACCCCAGAAATAGAATCTTATTAGTCCCACCACACTTATTTATGTACCCCTGATCCTGGAGGTAACCGTTATTCTGAATTTTGTGTTAAAAATTCCTTTACCATATAAATACATCTCCGAGCAACCCCTAAACGACATAGGTTTTAACCATGTGGGTCCACTTTTTTGTGGAGTTTTTTCTATAAATACAGCGCTGCTGTATTTATAAATGTATTTTTCCCTTGTAATGTAAATGTATTTGTACTGTACTGTAAATGTATTTTTCCCTTCCTTATGATTTTCTTAATAAGATTTTCTTTTCTCTTGCTTACTTTATTGTAAGAATTCAGTATGTAATCCCTATAATATACAAAATATGTATTACATACCATTTATATTTCATCAGTAAGACTTCTGGTCAAGAGTAGGCTATTAGTTAAGTTTTGGGGGAGCCAGAACTTATACGTGGATTTTCAGTTGTATGAGAGGTCAGTACCCCCAATACTCACATTGTTCAAGGGGCAACTGAATTTAGTTTGAATGTTTTTGCTCTTTCTAGAAATAGTTTCTATGGTAACAGTTTTTTCCATTCAGCTTTATCTTCTTGAGGTTCAATCATGATACTACTGCTGGTACGAGTATAACATTTAATTATCCATACTTCTGTTAATGGAGACGGATTATTGTCAGTTTTTTTCTTTTGGAAACAATGGCTCTACGAATATTCCCATACATGTCTTTCACTGTGCACATGTAAAAACTTGAATAGATTATATATTTAGGAATGTGTTCATGATCAACAATTCTATGTAATACTCAACTCTTTTCCAAACCGGCTTTACCAATTCAAACCCCTGATAGCAGTTACGAGAACTTCCACATATCTGTCTCTTTGGAAGCATTTGAGATGGTTAGACTTTTAACCTGTTGAAACCTGGGGAGTTTCAAGTGACTTTCAATGTGGTGTTCATGTTTCACTGTGACTTTCATATATTATTTACACTTAGGGAGTTAACCAATAAACTCTCACAAAAGGAAATTTAAAGATTGTACTTTTGGCAAAAGAAAAATGGTAACAGATGGGCATTCTGAAATGCAAGAAGGAGTAGTGAACAAAGATATAGATAAATATATGGGTAAATCAAGAGTTCTAGATTGATAGCTAGAGTGACTGTCTTCTGCTTTTCGTCGTTGCCAATGAGAAGTCAGCTGTCCAGTTCCTTTAATAGTGATAGCTACCATTTATTAATCCCAGATACTCTTCTAGGAAATATGTGTGCATTTTTCGTATAGTACAAGAAATTGAAAATGGTATTAATCATATTTTATAGATGGAAAAACTAAGTCATAGAGAGGTAAAGATGTGCTTGCAAAGGATAGAAGTGGCATTGAAACCCAGTCAGTGCATTCTGGAGCTCATGCCCTTAGCCACCACACTTGCCACTTAGACCTTATTTGCTTCTATACCACACTAAACTATAGTGTGATGCTGCTTCATAAGTGAGTTGACTTTCTTGCTGGTTGGTCTTGAGATCTTTTCTTTATCTCTTGTATTCTGAAATATTACTTTGATGCATATCATTTTTGCTGCTTCTCATCCATGGTGATTTGGTGTGTTTTGTGATTTTTGACTCCAGGCCCCTGTTCTTTGGAACCTGATGAGTGGGAATCTTTTGAGGCTTATGTGGCTTTCCTCCACAGAGAAGTTTTATGTTTATTTCTGCTAAGTTCCTGGATGCATTCCAATCCTGGGACCACATTAAATTAAATTCACTACTCGATCTTTTTTATACCATGTAACACCGAGCATAAGTCCGAAACTGATGGGTGTTTATAAGCTAGGAACAGACAGACGAACCACCAACAGAACACAAGAAAGAATTCTAGTTTAAATGATGTTTTTTTTTGGGAAAATGAGCTGTTTATCTTAACCCTTAAAGAAAAGGCAGAGTTTAATGGGCAGATACTGAGGAAGAGTAAAAGGGAAGGGCATTTTAGTTGAGGGACGTGGGTAAAGACCCAACCCAACAAAATCTAGTGCGTTTTGGAAATTGTAAGCAATCTGATGTGAACTGGTGTGCATATAGCCTCCTGGTGGAGTGGGATGGGGAGGGCAATGGTTGTGCTTCAAATCTGTAAAAGCAGGTTGGGTAGGATCATGGGTGATTGTGGGCATGATTCGAGAGACACTGGGGAGTCATGGAACACTTCTGAGGAAGACTGTATGATGACTAGAGTCATCTGCGTACAAGGAACGTTGCTCTTTAAGGAACATGTAGACTAGATCTTCAGTGTAAATATAGAACAATGCCCCACAGCCGGTTGGAATTCATTCTTCATTATGTTCAATTGTATGT